CTTACTCTATATTTTAAAATATTATTTATTATTTTTCTATGTTGTTTATCATGTGCCATTTTAATAACTATTCCATTAGGTTGCTTTCTGTAATTGAATGAGTCATTCCACTATTGCTGGACCTCCTTAGACAAAGAATTAGTTTCTTTGAAGCTTTTGCTGTGTGCTGTCAAACTGCCCTCCAAAGGTTGTGCCATTTTAGAGTAACATGGGTAGTTTTTGACCTGGCTGATTTATTCTCTAAAGTTTCTAATTCTATTTTCTTTTATTATTTTTTTAAAATGTTTATTTATTTTGAAAGAGAGAGAGGGAATGCGCACATGAGCAGGGGGAGGCAGACGGAAAGAGAAAGTCCCAAGTAGGCTTCACATTCAGTGCATAGTCTGATGTGGGGCTCGATACCGTGATTATGAGATCATGGCCTGAGCCAAGATCAAGAATTGGACACTTAACCTACTGAGCTGCCCAGGCAGCCTAATTCTATTTTTTATTATCATCATTATTTTTTAATGTTTATTTATTTTAGAGAGAGAAAGAGAGAAAGAAAGAGAGGGAGAGAAAGAGAGAAAGAAAACAAGCAGGGGAGGGGCAGAGAGAGAAGGGAGACACAGAATCTGAAGTAGGTTCCAGCCTCTGAGTTGTCAGCACAGAGCCTGATGCAGGGCTCAAACCCACAAACTGTGAGATCATGACCTGAGCCAAGATCAGATGCTTAAACAACTGAGTCACCCAGGTGCCCCTCTCTAATTCTACTGTAAAGTGGAATGGAGACTGTGTGAAATGTTCCTTTAATAAATCAGAAAAATGGCAGTAATTCAGTCAATCAAGCAATTAACCAAAAAGCATTTAGATATTGTACTAGGAATTGTATAGAAGTCCAAAGTTAATAGTGTGGCTGAGAAAAGAAATCATAATAGTGATAAAGTAAAAAAAAAAAAAAAAAGCCCCAAACAAGCCTGTAGTCATAAAGGGACCTATTATACCAAGTTTAAAGCAGTCAATACAAATATGCTACTTAGTACATTGCGTTACATGCCACTAGTCAGGGGGGTGGGATGTAAATAGAGAGGGACTTCTTGTCCCCTGCCTTCCTTGAAAGTCAGGACCAGCTCTGGATAAAAGCTGTTATACAGGGGAGGTTTGTATTGGCAGACAGTCCGTTCCCACAGGGACTTTGTACTGTGTGCTGTGCACTACCTGTGTAGTATTCCTCCCCACCCCCCCACCCCCACCCAGGAGCCACCAAAGGACACATAACAGTCTGGGGACATTCAAAGTGTTCCCCAGATTGATTTAAGGAGGCGGATAGAGTAAAATCCTCTTTCCACGGGGGCTGTGAAGCTGGCAATCTGGGCAGCAGGGGCTGCTGGTGACCGTGTCTCCTGCCTGCAGAGAGGCAGTTTTGGACAGCAGGCTGAAGCCACAAACATGGATGTTTGTTTCCCAACTAAGTCCCATTTCTTCACCTGTGTCTCTGATGGCATTCCTTCCTGCAGTCTCCGAAAGGCACAATCTGTCTCCTCTCTTGTGTTGCTCTCCCTTACTAAACAACCCTCTGCCCAGCGGTCCTACCTTCCTCCTCAACTCTCACTCTCTTCCTCATTCCAGCCAAACCTTTTGAAAGAGTGTCAACACTTACCCTCTCTACTTCCTTATTTTTCACCTCAAGCTACTCCAAATGGACCTCAGCTCCCATCCCTTTACAGAAATGGCTCAAAGATTACTAAGGATATCCATTGCCATCTCTACATGGCCACTGTCAGTCCTTGTTTACTTAATATCTCTTAGTGTCATTCAGCCTAGCCCACTGATTCTTTCGTGGAAACCCTTCGGTTGTTTTTCACAATACCTGGCTATTGCATCCTCCTGATTTTTCTCTTATGTCCCTGCTGCTGCTCTGAACCCCCTGTCTTCCTCTCTTTCATCTATACATGTTGGAGTTTCTGGAGGGCTCTAATGTAGGTCCCCTTCTTTCCTCATATTACACTCTACTCCCATCTTTTCTTCATACCCACGATGTTATCCACTATTCTGGCTTTGATTGCAGATCTATACACTAATGGGTCCTCACTTCATGTGTTTACCTCAGACTGCATCTCTGAGCTTCACAAGCATATAGCTGGGTGCCCACTTCAGATTTCAACTCAAATGTATCAGGATATATCAAACCCGGCATGTTTCAAATTGAACCGTCTGTCTCTCTCCACAAATATGCTTTTTCTCTATTGTTTCCTAATCACCAATGGCTCCCTGATCCACACAGTTGCTCAAGCTGGATGCCTACAAGTCATCCTTGATACTTTGCTCTTCCTTATTCCCTCCATTTGGTCCATCACGGAAGACCTGACCATTTTACCTCCTAAACACTTCTCACGTCCATCTCCATCTCCATCACTACCACCTAAGTCCCAGTCAGCATCTTCTCTTCTCTGGACTTTGGCGTCAACTTCCTACCTGGCATCCCCACACCCATGCTTGCTCCATCCAATCCACTTTTGACACAGCCCCTGTGTGAGTTTGCTTGTTTGTTTGTTTAAGCAATCGCTACACCCAAGTGGGGCTTGAACTCATGACTAAGACTCCCATGCTCTTCTGACTGAGCCATCCAGGTGCTCCCCAACCCCCAAGATATTGAAAGACAAATCTCATCCTGTCCCTGGCCCTGCTTAAAAACCTTTAGAGTCTTCCAGCTGCCCACAGACCGTGTCCAAAGACTTTCCCATGACTTACCAATCTGGTCAATCTTGGACCCTGACCTACCTTTTCAGGTGAATTTCAGCCACTTTCCCTTCACCTTTTTTTTTTTTTTTTTTTGCTTCAGGCACATGGAGTCCTCCTTGTTCCTGAAAGAGGTCAAACTCTCCATTTTCTTGGGAACCCTGAATAAGTTGATGCTTCTGCTATGTACTTCTTCAGGGGAACCTTCCCTGACCACCCCCTCCAGGCTCCATTGTCCTAGTGCACCGGAAGTGTTTCCTTCACTGCACACCCTGCATGTGTGACCTATTCCATGTTTCTCCTTGCTTTGGAACTGTAAGCCCCAGGAGGGCAGGCACCAAGGCTGTCCTGCTCATGGCTCTGTTCACCACTGTTCCTCCCCCGTGTGCCTGGTGCTGTTAGGGCAAAGATGAGCATCTAGTGCCCCTCACATCCCAACCCCAGGGTAGATGTGCAGCTGCGCACCATTTGGGGACCGCCTTTTTTTTTTAGTGCCAAAGCCCAACAGCAGCAAATCTTTCAGTGATTCTTTCTTTTTTTTTTTTTTTTTAACTTATTTTGAGAGAGAGTGGGAGGGAGCAGGGGAGGGGCAGTGAGAGAGGGAAGGAGAGAATCCTAAGCATGTTCCATGCGTCAGTGTAGAGCCCTACCTGGAGTGGGGGTGGGGTGCTTGGGCTCCATGTAACCAACCCTGAGATCATGACCTGAGGAGAAATCAAGACTCCCATGCTCAACCGACTGAGCCACCCAGGCACCTGGCTTTCAGTGGTTCTTAAAGCTAGAGCCCTGCTCTCTGGAGGTCAGGGTGACAGAGTGGGCCCAAATAGTCCCCTTGACCTCTTTCCCCTGGAGCACCAGGGCCAGATGGGAGCTCCCTGGAAGTTTGGAAGCTTGCTTTACAAGCCTTACCTAAAGCACAGTGTCATTAGGATGATGTGCTGTATCCCTGCCCTGTTCTCTTAAAGTTTAGATGTTTTTAAGACAGCGGCCCCCCCCACCCCAACCCATTGTTCTTGTTTTCGTTCTACAGTGTGCCTTCATTCACACGTGTGACATTGTTGAGAACCTACTTAGAGAGCCCCAAACAGGGCTCTGAGTGGAAGGGGCTAGGAAGACTCACTTGCTCTCAAAGGAACCAGAACAGCCAAATGGAATGTAATTTTCTTAAAATCGCCTAGGCTTTATGCGAGACAAATTGGTTGAGGCTGTACTCAGCGAGTACACTTTGCGGTGGAGCAGAAGAGACGGAAAGGTTCTCCCAAGGGCCCAAAAATTGCTGGAGCCACGGGTGGGAAGAACAAAAGGCTGCCCACTCAAACACAGCCACAAACTGGAATGTTCCTCGAAGAGGCAGTTTCTTTTGCGCACACGTGTCAGGGACAGTGTTTGGGTGTGAACATCTTCTGCCGTTGCAATGCTGAGCTGGGTAGACCAGGAAGCACCCGCAGAGAAAGAGACATAGTGCATCTCGGCCATGTCTGTCTTCAGAACCGACCTTTCCTGCTCTTTGTGCAACAAGACACACCTCTCCGAGGAAGGAGGCGGACAGGACTTCCATCATTACTACCACCCTATTAAACACAACAACAACAAAAAAACAACCGTGTAATTACCCTCTGCAGGAGAGGCGCACAAACAGGATGGGCCCGAGCTGAACCCTGGATGAGCCATCCCAGGAGCGATCAGGAAAAGGAACCTCCCCACCGTGCGCCCGCCTCTGGCCAGGGCCTCTCCCAGACGGCAAGGTAGGCTCGCCCGCCCAGCTCCTCGGGTGGTAAGGAGGTGCCGGCGACTCCTGGAGCGCAGGTTCCCTGCTCTCGCGCTTCCTCCCGCCTTCCAGCACTCCCGGGCCTTGACTCCCAGGCCTCAGGTGTTGGCGCGCGCTAGGCCTCGAGCCCTTTGCTTTTCCGCCTGAACCTGGGGGAACATCTAGCCCACAGGGCACGGCCAGAGCCCGCGCTGCACCGAGCGCGCGCAGAGCGGGACCGGCGAGCCGGCGCTGGGGCTCTCGGCTGCGCGCGCCCAGCCCCCGACCACCGCCGGGCCCCGCCGGCTGCGCGCCACGCCCCCGCGGTTCGAAAGGCGCGGGAGCCGGGGCTGAGCTTCGGTGAACTTGGAGCCTGGCGGCGCGAGCCTCCCGCCGGGGATGCGGCGGCAGCTGCTTCCTGGTTTGAAGCTCGCCGAGGGGGGGAGAGCGTGAGCCCGCGGAGGCGGGGGCGGGAGGAGGCGGGGGTAAGAGACGCTCGGGGCTGGAGCTAGCCGGACGGGTCGCTCCGGCTCTCCAGCGAGAGGAGCTTCCCGGCCCTGCAGAAGGGGCGAGTCCTGTGCGAGCCCCCGGGAAGCGCCGCGCGCTCGAGACGGACGCTCGGACTCCCCCGGCTCGCCGAGAGCTCGGCTCCGGGCTCCCCTCCTTTCCACCTCGCGAGGGAGGGGGCGAGGGAAGGAGGGGAGGGGAAGGTCCCGCGGAGGAGGCAGAATGGCCAGTCGAAAGGGGCTTGGCCGCTGCTTTTCCCCGGAGCTGCCTCCACTCCTGCGGCTGCCGGGAGGGCTGGCCTGAGCAGGGGCTCCAGACTGTCCCGCTGGGAGCCAGCGCGGCGCCCCCGGGCCGGGGCAGCGGCGCCGGCATGACGTCCGGCAACATGAAGTTCAATGGTTACTTGAGGGTCCGCATCGGCGAGGCGGTGGGGCTGCAGCCCACCCGCTGGTCCCTGCGCCACTCGCTTTTCAAGAAGGGCTACCAGCTGCTGGACCCCTACCTGACGGTGAGCGTGGACCAGGTGCGCGTGGGCCAGACGAGCACCAAACAGAAGACCAACAAACCCACGTACAATGAGGAGTTCTGCGCCAACGTCACGGACGGCGGCCACCTCGAACTGGCCGTCTTCCACGAGACGCCCCTGGGCTACGACCACTTCGTGGCCAACTGCACTCTGCAGTTCCAAGAGCTGCTGCGCACGGCCGGCGCTTCGGACACCTTCGAGGGCTGGGTGAGTGACTGTGATCCCTCCCGGTTGTGTCCACTTGACTCTCTTATCCCCCTTCGCTTTTCAAAACTCTCCCGGGTCCCGCTTGCCCGTCCTGTTGCAGAGCTCGGCGACGGAGGGAATTCCCTTCGGATTTGGTCCTCGCCCCGGTGGCCGTGGCACTGGTGACGCGACCGCGGTGGGTGTGTGAGGGCTCACGTGTGTCTCCAGGAAGCCAGGCTGGACACGGTCCCCACTTGGGATGGCAGCTTGGGCTAACGGGAAGTTGGGGTGGAGGCAGCCACCCTCCTCACCACTCCCCTCCCCTACAACGCTCAGACTTTGGGTAGGGTGCCCCGACTCTTCGCACGCGGGTCATACTAAGGAAAGGCGAGAAGATGTGATATGAAAGCGACTTGATTTGGGTAACGTGCTTAAAGCGCTTCTTAGGAGAAAGCCATACATTCTCTCAAGTATTATTCATAATGTTTATGGATACGTGTTGGTTCAGCTGCTCAGACGTGCACACGTGTTTCGGCATGCAGATCCATTACATCCCATGGGTACATAAGCTACACGCAGGGATCGGAGTTCCTGGGTCTGCACGTTGGCGAAGTTTTATTGTTTAGCAGTTTTCCAAGGAGATGAGGTTACATGTGTTTGCAAGTAACTCCAGTAGCCTGAGCAGTGCGGGTCTTGTAGTGCGTTTCTGTTCCTATTCGTCTGGGAGCTTTGAGAACCCCTTAGTAGTTTGTGGGCCACCCCCGGTTCTCCTCGCCTCACCTGCTGGTGTTCCTGTGTAATGGCCAGTAATTACCCACAACTGCCTACTTGCCACTTCTTTTCACATAGTTCCCATGAGGCAGAGCTTCTGCTGCGACTGATCAATTTCTGTTAGCACTTTACTCAGTGCTAAAATGCTTTTGTGTCTTATTCCTCATACTGTCTTTGTGATACAGGTGTTCTCCTTCTCACTTTTACGTGATGAAATGATAATTATAATGAAGTGGTCTGGTTTGGCAAAATGGAGTAAGCTGTTTGAAGATTCTCAGAAGTTTAATGGTTTAAGTTCTTCTGGAGGTTGTCAGTTTTGAGCCCAGAATGTGAATCAATATTGAAAACCTCTTCGAAATTAACACGTGGTAGAATCAGATGGATAGTAATGAAGACTCATTTCGATATTTATACTTTGAGGAACTGGTGATTTTACCATATACTCTAAAATTACAGATGGTTTGTAGAACTCTCTTTTAATAGTTTTAATGGAAGAAAACATGATGACTGTTTAACCTTATCGTTAAATTATATGGGGTTAATTTCAGCTGAACTTCATGAAATTTAGAAGTGGATTGGAGAGGAATGGCTAAAATAGAGAGACTTACATTTTATCCTGTGACTTTCTGGATAGACATAGGTGAGCCGAGGAATCCAAATGGAATTACTGAATTAGTGTTTGATTAGGAGTTAGGTTGGGAAAGCTCTAGAGGAACTAGGTTCTGAAGTATAGTGGTACAGACTGGCCAATGGCTATTAGAAGCATGACTTCTTCTAGAGACCCTAGACTGGTCCTTCTTATCCCTGGTCTGCACATTGACTCACATGGGGAGCTGTTGAAAATCCCCACTTTTAAATACTCTAAGAATCTCTGGCTGCGGGACCCCAGTGTTAGTACTTTCAGGCTCCCAGGTGATTCCAATGTGCAGTTAAGGTTGAGAACCTGTGGCTGAAATGAAGACCAAGAGATGAGGACTGGAAGAAGCATATGGTAGGTTACCTTACAGGGTAGGGTATGTAGAGCTGCTTATGGTCCTACTGGATGAACAAAGATTTAAATGTAAATCTATATCGATAATTGTCTGAATTATACTGTGATGTTTAACACACTGGTGGTGTTTTTGAAAACATGAATGTTTGGTAGGATCAGTCAGCATTCAAAAGATCTTGAAACCAGTGATTTGTCATGCGTTTTTAGTCAATAAGGGAGAGGGACAGAGGATTTTTGTAAAATGTCCTGGGTATTTTAAAACTGAGGATAGGATAGATAGAAGGGCAGAGTGTTTCCTTAAATTTTAAGAAGACTCTTGTTAGGAATGTATGGAATGCTTGTTTTTTGAATGGTCCTTTATAGATCTAAAGGTGGTTTTCAGGTTTAGCATTACAGAAATACTTATTTATCTTTAGTGTATTAAATTGCAATGTGTTGTTTATTCAGACATGTACAAGCAGATTATTTGGTTTTACTCTACAATAAATTCATGATTACAAATTGCTGAACTTTAAAAAAGAAAACCTACTGACTTAGTTTTTGCTAGTTCATGAGTAGAGAGACAAAAACAAAATGTTTATCATTAGAATAAAACAAAAAAGTTATGCATTCTGGCTTAATGTACTTTCTCAGTATCAAGAAAATCAACAAGATTTATTTTTGTACCTATTTTGTCAATATCACCTTCTAAGCTTGATGAAACAAGAGATTAGTTTTATTTTAATGTGGTGTACTCTTAGTACTAAGCACAGCGCCTGACCTGACATGGATTAGGTTATCAAATATTTCTTACCTGACTGACTATACATATTTCATTTAATCTGTGTAAAAAACCCAAGGAGGTAGGTGGGATACAGTTAAAGAAATTCTGAAACAGAAATTCACAGGGTTAAATAGTTACATTAGAAAAGATCTCAAAGACCTAAGTTTCCACCTGAAACTAAAAAATAAGAGCAAGTTGAACCAAAAGTAAGCAGAATGAAGGAAATGGTAAAGAGAAGTCAGTGAAGTAAAGAGAAACAATAGAGAAAAATCAGTGATACAGAGAGCTGGTTCTTTGGGGGGGAGAATAATAAAATTAATAAACCTCAAGCCAGAATGATCAAGAAAAAAGACAAAATTACCAATATTAGGAAAGAGAGAACATCACTATAGATCCTACAGATGTTAAAAAAATTATATTATAAATAATTTTATGTTAATAATTCCATAATTTAGGTGAAATAAATTTCTTGAAAGATACAAACTACCTATGCTCATTCAAATAGCTTGAATATCTTTATGTTTATTAAAGTAATTGAATTTGTCGTTAAAAACTATCCACAATGCAGACTCAAGGTCTTAAGATGGATTTTCTAGTAAATTCTGTCATATATTTAAGAAAGAAATAGTGCCAACTCTACACAACCTATTTCAGAAAATAGAGAAGAGGAGCACCTTGTGGGGCTCAGTTGGTTAAGTGACTGACTCTTGATTTTGGCTCTGGTCATGATCTCACGGTTTGTGGGATTAAGCCCCATGTGGGGCTCTGTGCTGATAGCATGGAGCCTGCTTGGGTTTCTCTCTACCTTTCTTTTTTCCCTTTTCCCATGCATACTTGCTCTCTCTTTCTCTCAAAATAAATAACCATTTAAAAAAAAAATAGAGAAGGAAACATCCCAACTCATTCTATGACCCTTATACCAAAACCTGATGAAAACATTATAAGAAAATAAAAGTACAGACCAATGCCCCTCATGAACATAGATATAAGAATTCTTAAATTTTAGCAAATCAAATCCAACAATGTAGCAAATGGGTAGTACATCATGACCAAATGGGGTTTATAATCAGGACTGCAAGATGGATTAAATGTTTAAAAATCAGTGCAGTTCTTCATAGTAACAGAATAAAAGAGGAGATTGGTATGATCACTTTAATAAATATAGAAAAGGTGTTTGACAAGATTAAGTATCCATTTATGATTAAAAACTCTCAACAAATTAGTAATAGAATAGGACTTACTCAGCCTGATGAAGGACATCTGTGAAAAACCTATAGCTAACATCTTAATGGTGAAAGAACGAATGATATTCCTCTAAGATCAGAAATGGCAAGGATATCTAGTCTTATCACTTCTGTTCAACAGTGTGTTGGAGGTCCCATTCAGTGCATTAGGCAATTTAAAAAAAATACAGATCACAAAGGAAGAAGTAAAACTGTCTTTATTTACAGAGAGTGTTACTGAGTAAATATAAGCTGCACTCACTGAGATCACACCTTGGTGAATGAATCTTTCAAATAATTCTTAAAAACCTCTTTTAAGAGGTATTCTTAAACAGTTATGCATAAGCATGACAGGTTGGCCATGTGTTTTACTTCTGTATGACTGCTTGTAGAAAATTCTAAGGCATCTCTACAAGGGCTACTAGATCTAACAAGTGAGTGTAGCTGAGTGGCAGGATCTAAACCAATATACAAATGTCAGTTGTACATCTATATACAATTAGTGGGCAACTGAAAACTGAAATAGAAAAACTACCATTTTTAAGAGCGTCAGAACTAAATAAAATTGGGTAAATTTGATAAAGGTTATGCAAAACTTGGTCACTGAAAATGATAAAATATTGCTGAAATAAAGATCTAAATTAATGGAGAGGGTTACTGTGTTCATGAGTGGGGAGATTCAATATTAAGCCCCAATTCTTCCCAAATTGTTCAATATCTAGTCAAAATCTCAGCAAGCTTTAAGTTGACAGACCAATTTTAAAATTTATATGCATGTGCAAAAGACCTAGACTCACCTAAGAATAATTTTGAAAACGAACAAGTGGGAGGACTTACTGATTTAAGACTTACTGTAAATGCTACCATAATCAAGATAAGGTGGTATTGGAGTGAAGAGAATCCAACAGATCTGTGGAATAGAAGAGAGTCTAGAAATAGATCCATACATATATGATTGGTTGATTTTTTTTTTTTCAGAGCTGTCAAGGCAACTTAATGGGGAAATAATCTTTTCAGAGGTGTTACTTGAACAATTGAACAGTGAAATGCAGAAATATGAGCATTGATCCTTACCTAACACCACACACAAAAATTAACCCGAAATGAATCATAGACCTCAGCATAGGGGTTTAACTGTAAGAGAAGTTATAAAGTTGAACTTTTATCAGAACACAGAAGAAAATCATAGTGACATTGGGTTCAGCAAATATTTTTTAGATAGGACACAAAAAGCACCAACTATTATTATTGTTATTTAATTTTTTTAACGTTT